AGTGGTGAGCAACCCGCAGGCCTGCATGCGGCCCATCAGGGTAAGCTAATTGCAGGCGCGAAACGTTTTGTGGACATTGACCGTCCGCAAAATGTCTCGCGGCCCGCCAGCAGATTACCCTGATGGGCCGCATGCAGGCTGCAGGTTGCCCACCACTGTCCTAGAGTCTCTCCAACAGTCTTTTGTGGTAACTAGAAATTCTACAACAGCTTCATTTAGAACAAAAAAGTTTTTAACAAATTAAATATGAAAACAAGTAACACTCAGCAGAGTAATGTCTGTGAAACAGTTAACATTGACATTTATATTGTCATGTTTAGGTTTTTCTGGTAATATTCCATTGAGATTTACCAGACAGTTCACATTTCTCTGCAGGATTGTTTCAGGCTCTCTGCAGGTTCAGATGTAATTGCACCTATTAAACTTGATTGATGTTTTCAAAGTTTTCTTCACACCCATAAGAGCTAGTAGCATCATTTCTTTTCCTAAACTAAAGTCTAGCTTCTGGAGCATATTTCTGCAGCAAGGGATGGATTCTGTGGCAAATTTAATGGCTGCAGAATACACGGAACCCTTCCCAAATTATGCATATTGAGGTTTTCTAATCTTCTCTCAAGTCACTTCTTTCAGCCCCCCCAATCAGTTTGTGGGTTTTTGTTTTGTATAAACTCCTTCCAGTTTGCCAGTACTTTCCAGTAATATGCTGCATGGGACGCCATATAATGTTCCAAGGGTGCATTTGCACCAAAACCATGGAAACTGGAACCATTACCTCACTGTTCTGTGAGGTTATGCCTCTCTGTCTGTTCAGATTTATCTACAGGTTGCCCACCACTGCCTTAGAGGTAATGGTGGATCTTCCATTACTCAAAGACTTTAAGACAAGATTAGACATCTTTCTAAAATACGCACTCTAGCTCAATCACAAGGCTTGATGGAGGGCTCCTTGGGTGACATTTTCAGACCTGTGATGTGCGGATCATCCTAGATTATCCGAATGGTCACTTCAAGCCTAATCCAAAGGTCACAGCTAATCGCTGGGACAGCATCTGTTTTGGCAATGTATACGTTCTCATACCGCCATGTAAGGTGGTGAAATGACTCAACTGGGAAAATAAATCGATCAGCAAGGCCTTTTCCTGAGGGAAGGTTAGGAGGAGTGGGTTATTTATACCTTTCTATAGAAGGCAGGGATGGAGGGCCGTGTGTTCGCCCGCACTGCCAAGTTCTGCTCAGACAGGTTCTGCAGCCAGGTATGTGCAGTGTGGCTCTGTGGAGGCAATGCATTAAGGACAAGAATTGCTGTTGGTAACCATGTCTCTTGTTCACTGTGCTGTCTGATTCAGCCATCTATAGAAGCTTAGCTCCACAAATGCTTGTTTAAGAGTGGTTTGGTATTTGAAAATTCTCTCACCTGCCATATGAGAGGCCTACTGACTCCTTTTCCTTTAGAATGTAAGCTCTTCATGGCAGGAACCGTGCGTCTTTCATGGCTAGGAAGAGTACAGCTTGTTGTGGGCATAACCAGAAACAAATTATTATTAATGTTTAAAATAGTCAGATAAGAGAGTTAATTTAGTGTTCAGTAAGTTCTGAAACAGGAACCTTGGTAAAGATGTGACCAGTCCTATTGGCAAGGTCCATCACCAAGAGAATTTGTTAGAGTTTATAAAGTGAATCTTGGCATTTGCCAAAGGCTGTGCCAAAGAGACTTGCTTACTGTTCCTTTCCCCGAAGTGGGTGTTAGAGCACAGGCCAGTCATAGAATCATAGAATCATAGAATC